TTCTGAACTGATTAACATCATTGTTGTACTCGTGTGTTGGAAGTGAGTATATTCTAGCAAACTCACTCACAAGTGTTGGTGTACATATCTCACCATTTCCAAGTAGTGAAAGCATTATCGTCGTTTCCTTGACTCCACTTTCATCCAGCGTTCGCTTGTAAATAGCGTAATGAACGTTGTAGTTGTCAATTTGAGTTGGTTTTATGTCGGCGATATCTGAGCAAGGAATCCATTGAAGCCTTAAGGATTCGCATTTACTTTCCAAGGAGGATTGGACCAAGTTGTTAATTGCTGGATTATTAACAGTTCCTAATGCTAACGACATAGTTTGAATAAGAAGTTTCAAGTACAATCAAGGAGAGAGGATGATCTGAGTGTAATGCTTAACATTTTCTCCCTTTCCAAATTTGGGTTGAATATCTAAATTAAGTAATAAAATTGGAACAAAATGGACGAACATACACTACCCTTGGAAATATTTTATTTATTTAATTTTTTAACACAAACATGACATTTAATATTCTGTAGGCCATCCTTGATTCCTAATACATGCTTCAATTCTATGTGGCATGCTTTCAATAAGTTTAGTATAATAATTTTTCAAGTTCTTTTAGCACTTGATCCATGACTGGAATTAGCATGTCGGGCAATTGTATACGTAACAGTGCTTTTTGAAACTTTTAGAATACGAGCTATAGCTTCATGAGACTTTCCAGCCATTTGTAAACCAATAATTTGTCCACGTTCAAACTCGTTTAATTCACGATCTTTTCCCATGTCGAATGCAATCAAATTGTTTACATTTCGTGTTGAATTATGTTTATGCTTTTGTTTATCAAAATTTATCTATACATTGTAGCACATATGTTCATAATCAGGAGATTCATTTAAAAAATTTCTTTTGCCTAGTTAATATGTTCAATCTTGAAAATTTTAACCAAATACTTTTCCGAGGGTAGTGTAGTTAATAAATGAAAATCTAATGACAAGGAAGAGATGTTGTGTCCGAGTTCGGGACCTGTCTCAGTTCAGAACCCAGTCACTCAGTCCAGAACCCAGTTGTCTCAGTTTCAAACCCAGAAACTAAAAGATTTTTCTTAGTGCTAATTGTTGTTTTAGTAGTCAAGAAAAAAACCAGTAAATTTATGATACCACCTTTCTTCATTAGTAGAATTTATGACTTAACAGTCATAAGATTTTGATGTTAGATATAGCAACATAATAATTATTATTAATTACTTAGGTTAAACATTTTATGCGAAGCCCATATCTTTGAGTATAAAAAGAGTACTTTTCCCTAGCGCGATATTATAAAAATAATCAATCGTTACTATCTAAAAAACTCTGACTTGATTCACCAATAAACTCACTTCTCTATAAAATATATTGCACATTAATTATCTCATCTAATCATGTCCAGTTTGGCATTATTCAACTCTTCGGGAAGCATGCCTTTTTTGGTCTTAACCGCTGTTTTTTTGTTCATTGGTCCAGCATTATTCACAGGGATTGAATCGTCAATGATCTTGCTGCAAAAAATAATACACCGGAAATCGAAAACATCTTCAGCAATCTTACCACGGAAATTAATATTAAACCCACCAACGAACTTTCCGCACGTCTTGCTGAATTTAATTCTACTTTTACTGCGGAGCTCGGCAGAATCAATAATAAACTTGATAATAAACTTAACGAAGAAGTTAATGCGGGGTATCAATCGTGAACTTGATAAGAAACTTGCCAGAGAAATCGCTAAAATCAATTCACGTGATGCTGGCTACGCAGAAAACTTTATCGATAATCAATAATGTGACCACAAGACTTGATAATATCGAAGAAGCCTACCGTAATGATTTTGGAAACATTTCATCTAAGTTCACTTCGATCAAGACCTTTACTGAAACTCTCGGAAATGAAATAATCCAACGTTGTGCAATTGCCCAAAGACTTCAGGTCGAATTTGATCAGCTGAGCACATCATCCGCTTCATCAAATCCATCTCTTGAAGAAAATAGGAACCGTTTTAAGCGAGCTTTTGACTCGAATAAGGAAGAAAGGGATACTTTGGATTATGCATTTGAAACTGGGTACTTTGGAAAACTTTTATTATGGTAAAGGGGATTAACACAGTGATGTTAGTTATGAGATGGGTAGATAATAAAGAAATTACTCGTAGTTTAGTTGATAACTTAGATAATTAAGAGCAGCGGGGAAGGAACTGCCATCATATAGGTTGGGCTCGGCAGGCTTAACAAACAGGCGTGTTTCTTTTATCCCTTGCTACTTTATTGTTTTTTACTTTTATTTTTACTTAGCCGGCCGGTCCTTTCTCATTTATTATTACTTTACGAAAAAATATAAAGACTTCACTTCAAATTTTTTAAACATGTGCGCGTGTTTTATGTGTATATACATAAATTTTGTGTTCTCTATCAATGAAAAATAATTTGCCCATATCTGGCTTGTAATAAAACAATTAAGCGTCAAACTGAGAGCAAAGAAATAATGTGATGCTGGGACTCGCATTCAATGGCCTAGGATCCGCGTACTTCCTTCTTCTTCGATAGCATCATTCGCTTCTCCGATTATTTATATCTCTAAAAATAGTCAATAAAGTTTTTCTTAAAAAAAAAAACCCCCCCGTTACCATTGGTAACGATCAGAATCATATGACTTTAAGATCAATTACCTTATACAGTAATCTTGGCTTCAAGACGATTCCTGAGGCCCAAAAATGTTTGAACTAGGTTTATTGATAGATATATGAACGTTAGTGACTTTTTTAATTACGACTTATAGCCTCTCATATTGGAATATACTTGATTTGACCGAGAACACCCAAATAAAATCTCTTTTCTCGACGAATAATTGGGAGGAAATGGTTGAAAGTTTCAATAATGAAGTTACGTGCGTAAATTGATCGAATCGGATTTTCTTGATGTGGTAGAGTATTTTATTCGATAAAGTTGAAAAAGTAAGTTAAAAGAAAATATTTGTCCTATTTCAACACTTTAAAAAATGTTGCTGACTCTATCACAAAAAAAGACGATAAGGATATCATCAACGCGATCGATAGATTGACCCCGGAAATTATTGGAGCAATGAAGAAGAAAAAGTTATTTCTATTTTAAGACGGGCTGTTGTCACGTAGTGAGCGAAGCAAAATATAATTATCAAAACTTTATTTTGTTTTCTTACGGTCAATTCTTGCACATGTACTGCTGAAAATCTGGAAAAAATTGATCTTACTGTTTCCGAGGCTGACTTCGACAATTACCTTTTCTGGTAAGTTTTATGGAAATTTTATGCGTCCAACTTTATATTCATATATTATATCGTCATATTTATAACCAAAAGACTAAATTTGCCGCAGCATTTTGTTGTTTATTGACAAAAAAAAATAGTAAATATGATAATCGAAGGATGAATATAGACCCGCTACGGTAAAAAAAATTTTTTTTATATCTAAGTCTTGCTATTATTATTTATTTATTTTTTTGTCGTCTTTTTTTTATAGAAAAAAAAATGTCACTTTCGAATGTTATTCGCTTGACAAGTATGACAATCATACTTGCTAGCCGATTGCTTTGTGGCTGTAACCTATTAACCATTGAATGATCGAACATTGTACAACTCCAATTTACCCACGTGTAGGTCAACCAAATATGTTATGGTACACAAACAATTAATAAACACATCATCATAATCGATTTATAAAAGCAACAAAACATTTACCATTAACAGATTAGGCATATATGGAAATGCAGTTGGTAAACAGATTACGTATATCAAAAGTAAATACCACACTAAAAAAGTTTAATAGTTGATGTATTAAAAACTGATAACAAAATACATCATATACATTTTCCCATGATAGACGTAAAATCAAATAAACTAATAGCACTCTTGACATAAAACCAATGAAACCCATACGCCACCTTGCCTTCCCCACATTAGAATCGTCGGTGATATACAGTATGTCTCAAAAAAAAAAAATGGTGGTTTGCAAATAACTTTTTTGTGACTTGTAAATAAAAAAACGCGTTTGTATCAGCAAATTTGTTTACTGATTTTTTCCAAGAATTTTTTTTATTATTGCTCATTTCTATAAGGAACTAATTTAAAAGTTTGTCTTTGTGGAGCTTTGTAACATGGTTAAGTCTAAATTTGGAACTCAGCGACACACTATTGGCAAAATTGCAAAAGAAATACACAAAAAAACTGGCATTTCTCTACGTACAATTGAGAATAATCTTCGCAAGCTCAAAGAATGCAAATCTGTTGAACGCAAGAAGGGTAGTGGACGTCAAACAGCACAGACCTTAATCTGATAGAAAATATGTGATTTATTATGAAGAAGAAAAAAATGCCCAAAGATGTAGATGAATTGAAGCGATTTATTGTGGGAAAAAATCCTCTATGAAACGGAGATGTGAACTAATTTTACAACACAATGGCAATAGAATTACATATTGAAATTATTTTCATTAATAAAGCAGCTCATAACCTTTCGTCCAATTTTTATGTTCAACGGAAAGATGAACGGGTTTCTTAACTCCGGATGACGTATTTGTTGTTGGTCACGCGTTTCCCTCAAAGTTCAAAAAACAATCCAGAAGACGTGACGAAATTTGTGAAGTTTGTAAACATTATATTCAACATGATAGCCTGGGAAAATCGAAAAATCTATTAGACAAAATTCTATGTTTGAATCCTAAGCACACATCAAAAGATTTCATTGTCGAGAATGGTATTAATGTCATGAACTGGCCGTCGACCTTGATCCCATCGAAAACCCATCAAAATAAATTAAATAAAACAGTTCTTAGTCGAGGAATGGAACAATTCCTGAACAAATAGTTAATAATTTAATCAAGTCAATGAAAACGAGACGTCAAATAGTTCTTAAAATAGAATTCCATACTGAAATTTTTATAAGCTATCTAACGCATCTATTTTCATTTAATCTCTTGCAATAGTTGAAAATTTTATTATTTTTATCAGCGTATGTCTCCAAATACCAAAGGCCTAGATCTCAGATGAACCATACCCATGCTTCCATCACCGCATATTGTCTCGTCCTTTCCAACACCCCACACATCATCTTCCTTATTAGCATTCCCATTATCATCCACGATAACATTCACACCATCATTCATGCTACTACTATATGCATGACTATGCTCAACCACATCCATGTCATCGTTCCTCTTATCATACTCATTACTGGTTTTGATGGCATTCACGCTGTCATCTCTATTATCGCACTCATCACTATCCTCAATAAAGACGTTATCGTAATAACTAGTATCGATTTTATTGCAACCGTTAGTGTCCTCAGTAATTACCTCATAATACTTCCTAATATCATACGAACGACTATTTGCAGCAGCATCCACACTACTGCTCCCGCTACCGCTAACGCTACCGCATCCAACATTATCCTCGATAACAATTCCGCTATCATCCCTGCTACCACTTTCACTTTCAACCTTTCCTCCTCCAATCTCATACTTTTCCAATCCCGCCAACCACTCATAATCAGTCAGTAATGGGTCCCTCTTCCCAAACGAAGTCCCCTCTTTCAATGACACTTTCATAAAATCGTTATCCAACATCTTGCCCACGACCCTCAACTTATCCTGAATTAACGGCCACAAAATCTCATCCGCCGTGTCTTTGGCAATAAGATACTTGACGTCTACATGAGCGTCTCTTCCTATCCTATGAGCACGATCTTCAGCCTGGAGAAGACAAGAAGGATTCCAGTACAGCTCTGCGAATATTACCATATCTGCTGCAGTAAGAGTGATACCGGCGGAAGCGGCTGTGAGAGAGAGTATTCCGACTCGAATGCGAGGATCAGTTTGAAATGTGTCACATAGTGCCTGTCGATGTTGAGCAGCCGTGCTGCCATCTATGCGAATAACGTCTGCTTTGAGTTCAGTTGTGAGTGCTTCTTCTATGGCATCAAGTATCGATAAGTGATGTGCATAGACAAGAAACTTTTTTGTAGTTTCTTTGTAAAGAGTAGTTAGATATTCAATGACTGGCGGTATTTTGGCCGTGCCCGTGAAGAGATACATTTTGGTCATCAGGGTTTCTTTTTGTCTGACTAACCGTTTCTGTTGCAATCCAGATGCAGTCACAATCTGTTGACGAAGAGATTCAGAAGAGCCTTTCAATTTTTTAAACTCTCTTTTGAACGTTTCGTCTATTTCAATACACACAAGTTGACGCCCTTTGGTGGGTAATTCCAATTCCACGTCTTTTTTAATGCGTCGTATCAGAACAGTCTGTTCTAACATCCAATTGAGTTCCTCCAGATTAGAGCTTCCAGTATAATCCCATCCGAATGGGCCCTTATAGCCATTACAATATCTGGCACCATACTGACGAAATGCCGGAAATACATTCTTCTCTAATGCGGTCAACTGTGGGAACAACTCGACTGGCCTGGAAATAGCTGGTGTGCCCGTTAATAGTAAAGCTCGCTTTGTCTTTTGGATAAGAGGTATGAGAAGCTTGGAACGTTGCGAGTCTTTATTCTTCAGTTGATGTGCTTCATCACAGATAATTATACGAAATCTATCACGCAAGTGTTCGTCCAATCGTAAGCACAAATCGTAACTAATTACAACAAAATGAGGAGTAGGTACCGAAACGCTGTCTGCCGCGTGAAAGACAGTCTGAACGTTCGTTTCATCCAACCATTTATTAATTTCATTCTGCCAGTTGGTTCTCAAGGTTGCAGGACAGACAACAAGCACCGGCCAATCGCCGCGATAGAACGAACAAACTGCCAATGCCTGTACCGTCTTGCCCAAACCCATCTCATCCCCCAGTAAAATTCTCCCGTTCCTCATCACTGATCGAACGACACCTTCTTTTTGATAGGGTAATAGACTCTCCCATAATTCACGCCGAATTTTCCGCTGTGTTTCGATTTCGGTTTGCTTATAACGTTCGTCAGCATCAACGCCAGAACCAAAAAGCTTTACAACGTATGGAGGAAATTCGTTGATTTCGATATTGAGATTTTTTTGCATTTTTAAATTTTTTAGACTGGATTCGTAGTCTTCAAAGGGAATCACCCAGCCTTTGTTACTTGGATTCCAGCTAGACTTGGGAATACTACGCCAAAATTCTATTAGCTTTTCGTGGTATCCGCGAACTATGAACCTTGATTTGTCGTATATACTGAATGTAATGTTTGTTTTTGAGGATTGGTTTCCATTACGGCTTCGATTAGAATCAGATTTGGTATTGTCGTCACTTTTGCTGTTATTACTAACGCTTTTGCTTTTGCTGTAACCATTCTGCTGGGACTTGGCCCCTTTCTTGTCAGCAGCGTTACTGTAATCCCAAGCAAAGAATCCGCATTTGTTGGCTCTACAGGTATAGAACCACCTACCCGCGTTGGTCCCTTTCTTGGTCTGCAAATGATTGACCGGGTTTCCACAGCGACAGAGCATATTGCCTGCTATACAGGACGCGGTACTATGAGAACCACAAAGTCAAAATTACGGAATGTACGAAATAAGGGAGAAAACTCAACTGTCGATTTTGTGGGAATAATAGGAATACGCGTCTGTCGATCAATTATAAATCGTAGTGACAGTAACCCCAATTTGCTATTTATATTTAACGCTTTAGTAAATAATTAACAAGTATTGCTAATAGTTAAAAATTGTAAATACTCAACCAATTAACTTTATGTTGTAGAAGCACCCTATAGCTTACAGTGGATACACAGGCAAACTCGATAAGTCGGTCATGTATGATGGACCGACTTATCGAGAGAACCGACTTATCGAGAGATTTTAAATATTAAAACTGAGAAAAGGGCTTGGGAAGTTTTGGCCTTCTTAGGCCAAAATTGAATCATCGAGAGACCGACTTATCGAGTTTGCCTGTGTATTTGCTAAAAATCACGAAGTGCGTTTCCATTACAGTGGATCCTCTCTATAGGACCATTAAGTATTTCACTTTCTATAAAGGCACAGCCTCAAGTCATGTCTGATGCATTGCATTCTGTAATGTTTCTAACTTAACAATGATAATAGAATATCGCAATATGTCTTTTCATGCAAGATCCTGCGTCGCTGTAGTGTGAAACGAAAGACTAATAAGTTTAATTTGACAATTATCCAAATATAGGTGTACAATTTGCTATATTCATACCTGCCACTGAATCAAAAATATAGCTATTTCTCGGTTTTGGCAGATTTCCTGTAGGTAAGACCTTGCTAGTATATTTACTCTCCTTCTCGAGACGTGACAAAGGCCTTACATCAGCGTAGTACATGGTATCCCATTTGCCAGGCCTATAATTTGCTTCTTTAAGAAGCTCGGAAATCTGCACACGAAGAGACCATTCCGATGGACGCTTGTTAGGATCGGCATCACAACACATCTCAGCAAGTCTCTTGTAGGCCTCTGGTGCTGAATCAGGCATCGATGGTCGTAGTCCGCCCATAATATCGCAAACTAAACTTCTATCGAATGATCTATTTCTGAAAGGCGGTTCACCACTGGCAACCAAATACATAATAATGCCAAATGCATATATGTCTGATTTCGGGGTAAACTTACGACTATCGAAGACTTCTGGCGCAATAAAGGGTATAACACCCCGAACGGTTGATTTTGGCTCAGACAGCTTTGATTGTGAGAGACCAAGGTCGCATATGAGCGGGTAACTCGAATCACCATCTGTATTAAAAACTATGTTACCACCATGGAGATCACTATGTACCAATCCAGTAGAATGGATATCATACAGATTAGATACAATATCATCCAAACACTGTACTTTCATCTTCCATGTCATTTGTTAATATTTCGATTCAAATAAGACAAAAGATCACCATCATTAGCATATTGCATTACGATCATGTATTCTCTTGTCTCGGGTTGTTGTGTGACGCCATAAATTCGAAGGAAAGAACTATTCAGAGGCCTGGGAGAGTTTGTACGCTTGACATAAGTCGCACGCTTGGCATAACTCGCGCACTTGGCATGATTCACAAACTGTTGATCGAAAAATAATCATCAATCAGTATAACTTTGATAATTTAATGATATTCGGAGATTGCTTACCTCGGAAATAAATAATTCCGGCGTCTGATCAAAATTCTTAAAATATTTGAGAACAAAGCGTTCTTGCCTATTGATATGATCCTCGCGTACTCTACGTTTAGCAGCATAAACTGTTCCGTACCCGCCAGCTCCAACCTCTGCAATTTCACAAAAATCCGTGTATTGTATAAACTTTATATCTGTGCAAGTTCGCATAGCTCTTTCCAATATTGTATGTATCTCATTGTAGAACACCAAACAATAGTCTCGCGTCGATGGTTTTTGAGTGATTCCAATAACCCAATGTTATCTGGAGTTAATATCCCCGGATAGCTTTTAGTCAACTATTGGAGAAATCCACAAGACGATCGTTACAACAATCATCGTTTTAAAAACACGCGATACACGCGTAATAACAATATTATTGTGTTGATCAAAGTAAAAACAGTTTACCTGATAGAAATCAAATGATTGACCGTTTCGTCCATCAACTATCGTCTTGAATATCACTTTCATCAATTTATTTGTTGTTGGTTCTGACCAGTCCGCTATATGTGTGCATTCATGGTGTAATGATGTCATTGCTTGTACGTCTATCAGTCGAGAATATTCAATCCATTGTATGTAGGCATCATTTTCATTCTTCGTATTCTTCCATGACTCCATAATAAATGAATCCAATGACTTGTTGCCTGTAGTCCAATCAGGAGGTGCTGGTGCTTTACATCTATAACAGAATGCATTTATCCTAGGTTCTAACGTTTGTGTACACGCCAGACATAATCCATGCCCATCGCGCTCTTTTATTAGACAATACTTCCGTTTACTTGCATCATATGTGAATCCGATGGTACCCAAACATCCGTGGTAAGAATATCTGGATGCTCATTGCATAACTAGAGGAAATGATACATAATAATAAGTCGATAATTATTTAAACTATTCAATAAACGTGAACAGTTACCTTGTAATAATATAAATCATCTGTCTTGTCTGTTATCCAAAGTGGAATCAATTCAACACGTCCAACAGGTAGACCATTCAAGTATCCATATCCATATCCACTATTATCATAAATACAATCAAATGGAATCCATTCCAAATAGGCATGATTTGGTGAGTTTGTTTGTAGTTGAGAGTTCTTAATAAACTCATCGAGTTGCTTATTGTCGCTAGTCCATCCATTGGATAATTCTTTATGCCCACAGATGCACCACACGGGACTACATCGGAGTATTCCACATGCGGAGCAGAATCCATATCGAGAATAACAATGGTAAAAGCGCTCATCAGCAACCATGTAATAGTTGTCTTTATACTTGGTAAAACCCTTTATGAGTCTGTTGCGACACTTAAGCCATCTGGAATATCGTCTAAACTGATTACCATCTCTGTTGTACTTGCGTGTTGGAAGTGAGTATATTCTAGCAAACTCACTTACAAGTGTTTGTGTACATATCTCATCACTTCCGAGAAGCAACAGTATTATTTCAGTATTCAATCTTCGTGCGCAATAGATAATTTTGTCCGCAGCATATTTACTTAACACCACGTTAGTAAACTCCGAATAGGCAATCCATTTAAGCATGTCATGAGGTCCATCGGATTGAATCAAGTTGTCAATTGGCAGATTTCTTGACATTGTTCACACGCGAAGACTAGTAACATATGCTATTTCTGCGCCGTTATCATCGGGCGGTAACACGAGGATTCGTGGATGGTACAGTGACACAAGACCACAATTACGAATTCAATTAAACAAGTTTAGTTTGTTTAAAACTTTTATACAATAATAAAAGCAGCAGTCTATCGTTTCCGGTGCTCGAGAAAGCAATAAATTCCTTGGTAAGCTGCGGATTGTAAAACTTATGCATCCAATTACAAGTGACTCTCGATATAAGAAAGTGGTCGGACTCAACAAACTTCTTTCTTGTATTGAAAACGAGCGTCACTCGTCCTTGTTTTCATGAAAATACACCTTTTCTATGTTTGTCTAGAGTTACTTACCTTTCCGTTTAATGCTGTCATTTATTACGTCTTTCTTAAAACGACATAGACTTTAGATAAAAGATTCATATACAAACAATATTATTAATATAGCTAGCGTCATCTAATAGACTACAATCATCCACCACGGAAAATGTGTTTATAGAATGCATTTATATTTAAGGAAATGCGTACTTTATACAGAGAGGGTCTCACGATATGGAGGTGCTCCTTTTCATACAATTTTCGAATCGAGAGATTTATTATAAAAATAAATTTCATAGTGTTAAATTAGGTTTGCTTCGTTAACCTGAACGTTCGTTTATGTATCTTTTATGTAAAGTAAATGAATCCTTCCGTTGAAGTAATTATTTTACTGTGTATGTTATCCTGTTAAATTTAGTCGAATAACAATTTAGATAAAATATGTCCTTAGTTTTGATTAAGTTTTGATACTCAATAGACTTTTTGACTATGGGAGAATTTAAAATGGCGTGTGTAGTGGTTTTTTTTTGTATTTCCGCGTTCTATTTCAACTTTGGGCGTGCGTCGATGGCAACATCGGGTGCGAAGCGGAAAAGCGCGTTACGGGGGAAATTTTTTCCGAATTTTATAAAAAGTAATTGATTTGTTGGGTAATATTGAACTCCCAATATATTGTCTTTAAATTGCGAGTGTCGCAGACAAGTAAATGGTTCAGTCAGGGTGAACAAATATTTACTTTACATTAAAATAAAATAGTACAACCGCTTAGTGCTTACTTAGCATTAATATTAATGTTATTTACACCAATAACCAAGCCCGTTGCTGAAATTTGTACTGATCTTCTGCCCTATTCTTAGATCTAAGTTGTATGTCATGTATAACAATAGAAGTTCCCGTAATAAGTTACATGTTTCCACAGTTATAGTTTGACTAAACTTGAGATTCCAAACAAAGAACACTTGGTAAACATTGATTACGCAACGATAGATTTATTTATACTGCAAATCAAAATAAACCCGTCTATTTGCATTAAACGAGACATCAAGATTTGATCCGATCAGTTGTATTCTAATCACCAAAAGCAAGTAACTTTCCACAGTGCTCAAAGCTACCTTGTGGCAAAAGCTTTCTTTTTTTGCGATTCCAAATCTGCTGGACAAGCCAACAAATTGTTTAAACAGACCCAGTTAAAAAATTTGGTTTAATACTAATAGAAAACGAATTGTCCAAGATCAAAGCCTTCTTCGGATAAAAACAACGGTGTGCTGAATAGCAGTGTTATTTCGTACTTGTTGTTGGGTATATATATTATCCAAATGTTTGTTGCATTCATCATCACGCGCTATTTTGAGCTGTAGAATGGTCACACAAGATCGCTGTGTAAACAAACATGATTATCACCATCAACATATCAACCTTTTTAGCTCCTAAATTTTAATTTATAATAGCATACCAATGCTATAACTATTATTCGCTATAATACTTAGTGTGTTCCTAAGAGGAATCTCCATTCATTAGAAAGCTACCCCACTGAACATATAATATTAATATGGCTTCCTTTGGATCGTACACACGTCTTCGTACACTGTCCAGATACCCACTCTTTTCTCTTTCTTCCACCAATCCCTTTCGAAAATTCCAATATGCCAGTTTCTCACACCAGATACTTTCTCACAACCCAACAAAATCAACGAGTTTACGGGGAAATTCCAGAAGAATATCGTCGACAGCGTCGCGCCGCTTAGCTACCGTGGACGATTCTAATATAGATCCGCGGTTGAAGGAAGCGAGATTTGAGGATGTCACTGACGTTGTTATTGTCGGTGGTGGGCCTTCCGGATTGGCGGCTGCAATTAGGCTTAAGCAGTTAGCGAATGAGGAAGGAAAAGAAATTAGGGTTGTAGTAGTGGAAAAAGGAGGTGAAATTGGTATGTTGATGACCTGATAATGGCAAGAGAGAAGAAATCATATGCATATGTAGTTTAGTCTTTGGTTTGGCCCGTTGTTTATATATCAGATGAAAAACCATCAATTGAACCATTCAATAACGCCAATTCCCTACTTCAATTACTCACCCTTTTTTTCTTCCACATCGAACGATTTGTGAAAAAAAACACAATACAGGTGCTCACATTCTCTCCGGCGCAGTTATCGAAACTCGTTCGCTTGACGAATTGATACCCAACTGGAAAGACCTAGGCGCTCCTCTTCTTCAACCAGCCTTAAAAGACCGCATAGTGTTCCTCACCAAATCTCTTTCCTTTCCTCTTCCCCATCCGCCTGCAGTAAACAACAAGGGCAATTATATAGTCAGTTTAAGTAATTTCGTAAAATGGCTTGGCGAACAGGCTGCCGAAGTAGGAGTCGAAGTCTACCCCGGTTTTGCTGCCAGCGAAGTGTTGTATAATGAAGATGGCAGCGTAGCTGGAATTGCTACTAACGATGTTGGATTAGATAAGAATTTTCGACCAAAGGATACTTTCGAACGTGGGATGGAGTTTAAAGCAAAAGTCACCTTATTCGCCGAAGGGTGTCATGGATCATTGACAAAAACTTTAATTAACAAGTTTAATCTGAGAGAAGGACGCGATCCACAAACATACGGGATTGGGATTAAAGAGGTATGGGAGATTGATCCGGCTAAGCACGAGCCAGGGTTGGTTTTGCACACTGTCGGATGGCCATTGGACTATAAGACGTACGGGGGATCTTTCTTGTATCATATGGAACAAAATCGAGTGGCAATTGGATTCGTGATTGCTTTGGACTATCAGAATCCTTATTTACATCCTTATAAAGAATTTCAGGTATGAGACAATTTGAATGCACGGAAGACGTCAAATACTCGTATATTTATCTCGTGAAATAGCTAATCCATTATTATAACTATCAGAGGTACAAGCACCATCCACGTATCAAAAAATATCTTGAAGGCGGAACTTGTATAGCGTATGGTGCTAGGGCACTGAACGAAGGAGGCGTGCAAGTATGCGATTTCAATGAATATTTTTTGGCCTTTTCCCCCATGTCTTTTTTCCCGAACGCACTAATCTTACTACTTTTTCTGAACCTTTTAACGTCCACAAGTCGATTCCCAAACTTGTTTTTCCTGGGGGAGCCCTAATAGGTGATACTGCAGGCTTTTTGAACGTGTTAAAAATAAAGGGCACCCATACGTCCATGAAATCCGGTATGCTTGCAGCTGAAGCAACCTACAAGGCGTTAACATCGGAAGGATCGTCGAGTGACACACCGGTGTTATTAACGGAATATGAAGAGTCGTTGAAGAATTCGTGGGTGTGGAAAGAGTTACATCAAGTAAGGAATGTCAGACCGTCGTTCCACAATCCATTGGGTCTGTACGGATTTTTGGCCTATTCGGGATTGGATTCGTTTATCCTCAAAGGAAGAGTACCGTGGACTTTCCATCATCATCCAGATTATGCTGCATTGAAACCTGCCAGGTATCGTGTTGGGGGGGGGGGGGGGGTTGATCTATATTAGTAGTCTGCGACGACGTTATTTGCGTTGCGTTGTATTTGCTCATCTGTGTTGTTGTTGTCGATTTCAGCCAATGCAAGCCAATAGAATATCCAAAGCCTGATGGCAAAATTTCGTTCGAGTTGTTGGAGAATCTTGCCAGGAGCGGGACAAATCACACTGAAAATCAGCCAGTCCACCTTCGCGTACGGGACAAGAAAATACCCGTTGAAAGGAATCTCAAGATATTTGGAGGACCAGAAGGTCGATTTTGTCCAGGTGTGTAGAAAGATTGTCCTAAAACAACGTGTTAATAATACTATCCGATTTCTAATAATTATCTTTTTTTTCCAAATTTATCATAGCGGGTGTGTATGAATTCGTGGATGATGAAGCCAATCCAGGAGAAAAACGACTACAAATCAATTCACAAAATTGCGTGCATTGCAAGACTTGTGACATAAAAGACGTATCACAAAACATAGACTGGGTTACTCCTGAGGGTGGGAATGGACCTGCATATTCGTATACTTAGATGTAAGATTTATAGATTTCAGAATTTTGGCCTATCGCCCATTTACTGTAGACTCGGTCGAATTGGTTTGTTACTTATGACAGCTTAGATAGTTCCCGTTCCTCCTATTCTTTCTATTTTAAATTCATTTATTTGTTCTCTAAATAAACCCATTTTGAATGACGTTTTTGTAAATTTGCCAGTTCTGACGATCAGGCCAAACAGTGTAACTTGGATTATATCAAACCCATCAGGTTTTTATCCACTTGAACCTCTAGACTTTTCGTTTTTTCTTGGTTCATCATAGGTGGGTGATAATGTTCGAAATCCTCTAATTCCTGCACACGCTACCAAATTATCTGCAAAAGAAAAGATGGACATGTAGTGTTTTAAAGCCACGGAAAGAAAAAAAAAGAACGCGGTGACCACGTTTGAGAATTCGTTATGATATTGTGTGTACAAACTGGTTTAGAACATACCAAGTCAAAATAGGCTCGCCTGCTGACGACCATTGGGTTTCCATTATGACATTATCCTCCCGTGTAAGTACTAACTCTTGAGTCCGATAAAAATGTTCCTTCAAATCGCTTCTGGTTGACGTAGCTAGAATTTCCAAGAGTGTTTATTGCCTGTCGAACCACCTCCACGTCGTCGGTGACTGAAATTGCTTGTGAACGCGTTTACGGTCCCCGATGTCTGCATTAAACCAGCCAGCGCCAGCACTTTGAAATTTAGATAAATCTAAGATGGCATCTCGTCGGTCATAGTGGCGGTACTACTTGAGATGTTTGTATCCCCTGAGCCTTCTACGACAATAAATATGAGAATTCAAATACCAAATTCAGACATGATACATATTTCATAAATCATATAACCTTTGTCGCAACGCCTCTTTATTGTTGTTGTCCACCTTGCCATTTTCCTCGGGGAAAAAAAAAATCACAGAACAGGAGCCGAACGCATTCCCACCTTTTTATTATTGTTGTCCACCTTGCCATTTCTCTCGAAAAATAGTCAAGTGCTATTATATGTATAGCGGCATAGATTAGACTTATGATCAAAGCGAAACTTTTGATGTGATTTGGGATCTTTGTCGCCACACTCGAACCACAACATGACTTCAACCTTTTTATTCATGTTGGCCACCTTGCCATTTCTCGTAGAAAAAAACAAATCACAGAACAGGGGCTTAGTCTCAGCGGATCGTAGCACTAAGGTTACTCTACCGCGTACAACACCCC